ACTAAGTGAATTGTAAGTAAAGAACCATCTGTAGTCTAGTTGGATGGGTTCTAATAAGCTAAGTCTGTTGTAGGCTACTGCAAATGAACCAGCCACAATCTGCACTTGTTATTTTTGTGCAAATTTAGGGCTATTTGGTATTGTTGGTATTGTTGAATACCAATTCCTTGGGTCCAAGAACCTGTACTATTTTCTGGGGTATTTTCTAACTTTATGACTACATTGTACTTTGTAGAGAATAGGGGTGTATGTGCCTTTTGATCCCAGTGTTATTGGCACCTTTCAGCTGGAAATGTAGTGGTTTGTATCCTCCACCTTTTTTGGATGGTTTATCCTCACTAGCACTGACTTTCCCCGCTTCTCTCAAGCTTTCGTTTTGATGTTGAATATTTTTTGATACACTAGATCAGAATTAATAGCCAAGTTAAACTTAAGGGAAAAGGGAAAGAGAGATCAAAGCTGATTATGATGCTTAATTTACTGTAGTACTCCGATTCCATACAAATAGGGTTTGAGAGCCGGTTTGATGTGATGGTTAAAAGTGTTGGACTAGCATTGAGAAGACTGAATTTTAGTCTTGCCTTAGGTACAGAAACCAGCTGGATGACTTTGGCCCACACACTCTCTCAGCCATAGAAAAAGGCAATGGCAAATCACTTGCGAAAGCACTGCCAAGAAAGCTGCAGGGATTTGTCATGTAGTTGCCAAGAATCAAGACTGACTGGAAGGAAAAAATACTGTTCACTCCTGTATTGCCAGATCTTATGGAACTTCTGCTTTAATTCTAGCTGGTAGGAATAAACTATGGTCCAAAATTAATAATTTGGATAACATAATATGCAACAATGGTTGATTTGCTTTACATCTGGATAATTACAGATATTTCTTAAATTTCTGCAAATATAAAATCATTCCTTTTTCAATTTTCCATCAGGAAAGCACAGAAGTTGCAAGGAGCCATAGTGTAAATTCACCAGATATTGTCTCCTCAGACTCTTGACTACAGTTTATATGATCGGTCTAAATTTAAATTGTACGTGGAATTCAGTGGACAGTAGTATTTTAGTGTGGTTGTTGCATCAAAAATAATTTCAGATTCTTAGAAAAGGCTTGCATATTCTTGTGGCAATGATTCCAGTGCAATGATTCTACTTCATCCATTGCCGTAATAATTAATAATAAAATACTTTATGAATGTGTAGTAAAAATCCAGTTTATTTAAATATATGCTTTGGGAGATTTCAGTTGGTGCCTGATTAGACAAGGATCATAGGCATAATGATAAAATACAAACTTTGGGAAATCTGAATGTTCCTAATTCAATTTCCAGCAACATGTCTGACTGAAAGGACAAGATGTAAGAAACATTTTTTTTCTGAGATCTTGGAAGATACAATCTTGCAACTAGGTACCCAATTTCTTTATGGTTTTTGAAACTGATAAGTACACTTGGCTTAGATGTTTCATACTTCTACTAGTCAAAACATATGTTTATCAAAAGGTAAATTGTTGAAGGACTAAGCAAAAAAACTACTTGCTGTAGACTTTATATATGTATTAATGCCCAGAAAAATAGAATAAAATTCACAAATAGTAACCACCTAATACTTAGGTAAACATACTCACAGAGACATAACATGCATACCCCACTTTTCTCCATCTCTAGACAAAACATTCACAACTTGGACAAAACATGCTACGTGAAGGCTATGGAAAAGTCTAATATTAGCCCCACACATTTACTTCCGAAGTACAATGCCTCAGAAACCCAACTCTCTGCTGCCCAACACTTCCTACAACTTATTTATCTTTCTCTCCCTCTCACCCAGTTAGATAAACCCCAAACACTTAAGCTAATCTACCAGCAATTGTTATTCTTTAACAATGCTTATTCAGCCTAAGAGACACTGATATGCATTCTTGAAAAAGAGATAAATCTGATATTGTGCTTTGCCAGTTTTCCATTAATCAAACATCTTCCTCTTTTACAGTCAAAGAGTAAGGAGCTTGGTAGAAGAAGTGGGAAATTGAAGTTATATGAACAAATAACCTGATGTTATATTCAGAAATTTCTTATGATTGTTTTATCACATTAAAAGTTTCGGTTGTCTGTACTGAAGTAATTTTCAAAAGCATGGTTTTACTGTCTTCATTTAACAGGATCATAGATGAGAAATGGAGAAAGCAAATCAGATGTCCTCTGACTAAGCAGTTTTCAAGGCTGATTTTGTAGTATCTATGTAACCAAAGCCACCTTTATTTATCCACGCAGTAGAGCTATGCTTCAGTTAAAAATGATAGTTCGCTTTGAAATGAACTGCCTGTGATTATGCTGCTATGTCTTTAATGCTGACTACTGTTTCTTTCAAATTCTCACTTCCTCTTTCCTGACAAAGGAGGACAAAAGTGTTGGTTAATGTCTGTGTCTTATGTTGTCTAACTGTGATAGATTCTAAGAAGCACTCTTCTTTGGGTCAACTTGTGGTTCACCCTTTCTGTTTCTGAAATGTGCAACAAAGCCTTTGTCCAGTTATTTCATGCTACACATACCTAGTTTGCCTAATTACAGTGTCTCTGTCTCACTCTGTGTTTGATTTTTTTTTAACCAATGACATTTTTTTTAGTATATGTGATCAGTTAAACAGGAAGTGTGCCTTTTTAATCAGTTCTCTTAATTAAAAAAGGAGAAAAAACATTGGCATGTGCTTCTTGGAGGTACAATTATAAACATAACACAAGAGGCTTTGTTTTAGAAATTAGATGGCAAATGTGTACTGCTTATTTAATCCAGTGCTCTCATAAAACCATAGAATTACTCCTGGTGTTTGTAGTTTAAACAGAATTATGCCATAAACAGGGGGAGCAGTGTGGCATGCAGTGAAAAGGGCTGAGCTAGACCAGAAATATCTGGCTTCTGTGCCCATTCAGCTATTAAGAATGACCTTGTAGTAGTCATCAGAACTTTTGGGGAGATATTATATTTGAGGGGGGGGGGTGTATGTTTCTGGGACGTGTATCCTCTCCTGAATAAATAAAAGCAAAGAAGAAGTGAAACATAAGTAATAAATTCAGTCTTCAAATTAGATGTTACATAACAATTCATTTTTAGAATAATAAGATATTTGCTCTGGGCTTCACAGAGTCAAATTTAGTAGTGAAGAGTAGAAAGAGGTCACATTGAAAGGATATAATTTTGTGCTGTCTTTCTTGGGTTCAGTCTATGTCTTTATCCAGGAAAGTTAAATTACCTATAAGGACTTCAATCTGATGGTTTTGCTCAAATGTAAGAACATGAATTCTTGAATAATTACCCCAAAAACTATTCACAGCTGAACACGAATGTGGAGCAACACATGGAAACAAATGCAACATTTAGCAAAAAAATAAAACCGTTTCCCTTAGCTGTATAGCTAAAACTAAGTTCCAGTTATTTTGCTTCCACTTTCTGATCCATTTGTAACCATGTTTGCACATTTTCCAAGAAAATATACACCAGCTTTCCCTAACCTGATGCCTCCCCCGCCAATACATTTACAATTGTCATTAGCAATGCCAGCTTGGAAAGTGTTGGAAATGAAGTTTGGGGTTAATCAGAATGAGGAAGGTGAAGACTGGAGAAAAAGACACTTGAATACAGTACCACAGTTAGCCACTCATCACTATTGCCTGGTTACCTGTCCTATTTTTTTTTAATCCTGATGCCTTTATTTTAAAGTGCTTTATTAAAATTTCCTAAATACCACAATAAAATATTGGCAATAAGAAGATATAAGTAACTACTTTCTTTGGGGGGGGGAGTCTTATTTTTTAATTAATTAATTTGCTTTCCCTTATATCCTTCCCACTTTACCTAATTGTAGGGGGTAAAACTATTCAAGAATTGAGGCAGTGGGAGTACTAGTTACTTCTTACCACAAAAGTACCAAGGAAAAGGAAGAATGGTCACTGCGTGTTTTCTTCT